TTAAATGCCCATAATATCTACACTCAGTTACAAGTCAAGGATAGTTAGTATGACGTAACCATTAGCGGCGTCTTGTGTGTTGCATAATTAATGCGGCTGATGCAGAGCACGTAGCCAGTTCCTCACCCATCAACTAGCGAAGCTGATCGGTTCCGCAAAGATGAACGCGGAAGACCCGAGCACGGGAAAAAAAGAAAGGAGACTTGTTCGAGCCATTAAGGTCGCCCCCGTTCGGGACTAGAAGGGGAAGGTTTACTCGGAAGAGCGTCTGGCAAGAAGCAGGCCAGGTGCCGCCGTTTGAGTTTAAGCCATTGTTGGCATGCACGCGTGTGATTGAGAATGACGTGGAAACGCGACCACTTGGCTGACCGAGACATAGTGGCGGCAGGGAGACGAGCATAACGTCCCCCGCGGTACGTCATTAGTGTTGTTAGTATGTCGGGGTGCCTTGCTGTCACATGCACAACTGGTAAGCGCTCAGAGCCCAACAGTGTATCGCCGCTCTTAAGGAAGCTTCTACGAAGCAACATTTGTGAGAGAGCTGACGGGGCTCGAGCGTGAGAACGGCTGCTGACGAAAGTCAGCCGACGAAGGCAGCACGGCCTGAGATGGGAGAGAGTGCGCCAGGCTAAGAACCTATTCCCTCTCATGTTATATTTCATAACATGACTTTTACCAATGTAGTGCCTGTTATGAAAGTGTTTTTGCGATTGGTTGCGGCGATGCAAGCCCACATGTGTGATTGGTTTGTGTCGAGACCCTTGTTCAACCGAGGGTTGAAAAGAGGATGTCTGAATGTGGAAAAAAAGGAGAGCGAAGGTTCGGGCTTGGACTTGGGCAGACGCCTGAGGCTGCAATAAAGCGTCTTTTCACCGGATTATGGCTCTTCCTTCGCTCTGCCACCGTGCACTCGAGTCATCGAGGTGACCCATTCGGAACCTCAAACATTTTTCCTCCGTCGCTAGTGTGAAAGCTAGTCAAGGAGGAAAGGAAATTAAGTAGGACAGTGAGGCTTTTTGCCGTCAAAGGGCCCACTCCAGCCGGTGGTGTCACTGCGTCGTGATGACATGGCTGCTTTGTGATGCGCTTTGCGATTCTTCTCATAAGTTCGGTGCTGCAATCGTCAGTCGCAATGTCCCGATGATACGGCGACGCCATTGGCTAGAGGGGGCTCCTTTTATGGTGAAAAGACGCACTGCTCTTGAGTTGTAACTGGGTACATTAATTAATATGTAGAATTTAACGTCCCAAAACCACCATATGATTAAGAGAGACGCCATAGAGGAGAGCTCCGGAAATTTCAACCACCTGGGGTACTTTAACGTGCGCCCAAATCTGAGCACATGGGCCTACAGCATTTTCCCCACCATCAAAAATGCAGCTGCCACAGTCGGGAGTCGATCCTGCGACCTGCGGGTCAGGAGACGAGTACTTTAGCCACTAGACCACCGCGATGGGCGTAACCGGTTACAGGGCAATTACTAGTAGGAAATCCCTTTCATGTAATTGTATTTCACTAAAGAATAAAGATCGGGTGGTGCTCATATGGCACGCATTCTTAGTTCATTAGCTTTAGTTTACTGCCACCTCCAAAGATGACAATGTAAAATTATTGCATTTCGCTGAAACCAAATTAACAGGCAAAATCTTACAGGATAACAAAGAAACTCAAGAATAAGGTAAGGACCATACAGCATGCGATTGAACAAGAAAAGGTTTGTGTAACAGTATGAGATAAGAAGATGGCAGAATTTATCAGTGAACAAAGAGGGGATGCGGATACTTTCGTTGATATCAGAGAGTTGCAGTTTAGCATTAGCCTGTTTGTGTGGGTTGCGGGAGTAGTATTACCATGCCGTAAATGTTTGTTGCAAAGAGCGTGTCATAGTTCAGTGGAGTAGCGTTTACGTGCCCCCGAGCTGGCTATGTGGCATCGGCTATCGGGAGAAGAATGGACTAAAGAGTGAAAAAACAAAAATTGAGGGTTCCCGCTGATATCCCAGCACCGCAGCAATATTGCTACCTTTTCAGTTATAATAAAAGTAAATAAATGTGAACCATGCACTAAATGTGTTCGGCAAACACTTCCCACCAGACAGTGGCACATACCCACAGGCGGGTATGTGCCGCTGGTATGCGGGTACGTGCCACAGGTGATTGAGACTTGGTATCTGCTAAAGAACGACGAGAACAAACATGGGCAATTTTAACACGCGCGTGTTAAAAAATACCCGACGTCAGTAGCACCGAGCCGGCGAGTCCCAGCTGGAATCGAACTTAAGCATTCTGGGTGCCAATGAAGCATTTCACCACAGAGCTCTGCCAGGTCTTGGAACTACTTTTCAAATATACGCTAATCTTTGTCAAATGTTAATAGTGGTTTCAGTTCTGCCTACCCAATTTTATAAACATTACATATGTACTATTTTGATACAGCCGTCACGTCGGGTTAACATCAGATGTGGTTAGTTGCCATGCGCTGAAGTTGATTTACGTAGCAGTGTCCAGGGCAAGCATCTTCGCGAGCATCTGCGCTTCATATCAGCTTCTGGTGTCGCTAATACGTATGTTCCAGTTGGCATCGTTGCGCAAGTGCAAACAACTGGTTATATAAACATCTGCAACTCTTCAACATATGTCCATGCGTATGACATTTGTACATTAATTTAGCATGATTGAATGATGTGTCGCTCAATAAAAAAATTGCAACATGGTCACCTTTCTTCCGCATGCTTTGCACAACGTGGATTCCAGGTACGTGGGATCTGCCGAATTTTTTTTTTTTTTCATGACGGAGACACGATGATTGATTTGTGGGGTTTAACGTCCCAAAACCACCATTAGATTATGAGAAACGCCGTAATGGAGATGAGGAAGACACGCTCAAAGCTCACTTTCCACTGCCCGTTCGTCCAACTATTTGAAAACAGATTGTTCAGATTCACCAAAGCTTGAGCGCATGTAGTCTCAGGCACTGCCCCACTGTGGGGCAATCTTTTTTTACAGTATTTAGGTGGACATTTCAAACTTATGTAAAATCATTATCAATTAAGGATGCTATCATTAAATACAGGATGAATTAAAGTATTTACAACTTGATTTCTGGATTACCAGACGAACGCTACAAGTTACTGAAAAAATGTCGCAAAAAAAGCTCTCACTGTCAGGGGTCCTTAAAGAAAAAAACGACCAACGCAAATCACACAATGCAAAGGACAGATAGCTGAGGGTCAGTTTTAGTAATAAAATGGGTACCAAAAAATGGAAAATACAGCTTAAGGATGCAAGATGGTTGTGTTGGGTGATGAAATGAGGAAACTTGGGGGCACAAGTAGATATTAGCTTGCATAATTCAAGCTGAGTGCAAGATCATTGCGAGAGGCCTTTGTTGAAACATTAGCAAGATTTCTGTTTCAACCAAGGCCAAGCCTTCCTGAAGAGGAACTAGGTACTCTGTAGAACACTTGATACATTATGAAAAGAAAAAGAAACATTTAGTACTTCCTGTCACTTTTTTCTTTCTGTCTCACGGACTAACTCACACACACACGCTAGCATGTGGTACGCACACATACACACGAGACAGACATCAGGACAAAGGCATCTCCTATATTTCCCCAATTACTCCAGCTCAGCGCTTGCTGCGGCCACATTGTTGCCGCAAGCATCTTATCTTATTGGTCTACCCAAATTTCTGCCTGTTCCTCGCATGCTTGCCTGCTCCCTGAATCCAGATGATTATACTTAAGTTATGTCGCATTCTCACTATATGCCCCGCGCATTTCTTGTTCTTGGATGCAGCTATGATATCCTTTACACCAGTTTGTTCCCCGACCCACTCTGCCTTTTTGCTGTCTCTTAAGGTTACACCCACCATTTTTTTTTTTGTTGCTCGCAGTGTCATCCTCAGTTTAAAGGGACACTAAAGAAAAGCAATGACTTGGTTCACATTAATAAAGTGCTATCTGAGAATCCCAATGCCTTAAGTTTCATTGTGATACGTTGATTATTAGCGAATAAAATCAAGGTTGAAGTTTCATTTGTAAATTTCCCGCAGAAATCTCCACACGTGACATCATAAATTTGATAAGTTTTTTTTTTTTTCATATTTTCCCAACCATGGCAAAATGAAATTTTCTGAAACTTCATATGCAAGTCCATGGCATCCACGGATGACAATGTATTTCAATTTTAAAAATCAGAAGCTACGTAGAACTCAGTAGATGGCTACGAAATTTTTTACATCACGGAGTTTGGTGCGAGAATCTCGAAGTGGCATCTCCACAGAATTCTTTTTTTCACACATTTTCTCACTTACCAAGCATCATATCGCAGTAAGAATGGTGTTTTCTAAATCGTACTTTACTAATACGCGAAAAATCGTTTTGCCCTTTAGTGTCCCTTTAAGCTGAACCCTTTTTGTAGGTCTCCAGGTTTCCGCCCCGTAGGTAAGAACAGGTAAGATGCAGCTGTTATATTTTCATGATCTTGGGAAATACTGGTAGAGCAGTCATGATTTCAGAAAGCCTAACATGTGTGCTTCTCCCCAATTTTATTCTACAAGTCACTTAAGCCTCATGGTTCGAATCTATGATCATTAGCTGCCCTAAGCAGACGTATTTTTTTACCACTACCAGTGCCTCGCTGCCTATTACAAAGCATTGTTCTTTTCAAAACCGTTTCTTGCATATTAATTTCCAGACCTGCCATTCTGCTTTTCTTACAATTGTACCTGAACTACTCATCACAACTGCAGGTTACTAAGCTTGTACCCGTCACTCTTATCCCTTAACGTTCCCAATCAAAGGATGTCTTAGGCGGTGAGCATATACCAGCCATAATCGGAGTTTACTGCTGTTACGGGTCCCCCGTCGCACTTATGCTATTGGTCACACTTGCCATGTAAACTTCCCACAACCTTGCGAAATACCGTACTGAAAGTGACCAACAAATGATCGGTAAAGCACGCTGGGAACAACAGGTCGATGGGTCCCACTTACTTTGGCTTTGAAATCATCCATGCCTTCGGCAGTAAGGTGAACGCCGAAATGGCGGTCTCGGGGGTCCAAGAAATAAGTCTTCGTGTTGCACAGGGCAGCCAAGTCTATGGGTCGGGTAACGTCAACGCGTCCGAGATCGATCAACAGCTGCAGCTGCTTCAGAGACAAGGGAGGGTACTGACGACGAAGGAAGTGCTTCTCGTTGTAGTTTTCCATTGGGATCTTCAGATAAAACGGCGTTTGGCCTCCTTCATAACCGAGACGGGCCCAACGCATGTGGTGCTTGGCACCGTCTTTCTTCCACATCGCGCGAAGCCTCGGCCCAGCCGGCAGCATGCTCTTGGTTACATAGTTGCTGCCAGGCGTGTCCCGAAGATTACCAATGTTGACCCGAGGCAGGTACCGCAAGATTTTCAGTGCTTTCTCGGTTGTGGACATGCCTGCAGAAACACACGCGCATAACCGCGCAAAGGACGGCTAAACTGAGCGGATACTGGCCAGTCTTGGATTCGGCTCGTCTGTGATGCACTACGAATGGGTTGTCTAACGTTATCTTAGAAAACTGTGCCCTGGAGCAGTCTAGAAGTTTTCCAAAATCAAAAAGGGACAGAACGCCTTGGTTTTGAGGGGGCAAATGAATACTTAGAAGACAAAATGCACCGCTTTAGTACGAACTGCTAGCGCCGCCTAGCTTGACGCTCAAGCATTGACTTTGCGCCTCACTGTTCTCCGTCCGGCTTTGTTGCATCGTCCGCTACACAATGAGCGCTGTTTTCTTCTATGAGTAGAACCAATATGCTCAAGAAAACACACACTTTTTGTTTATATGCAGATATAAAATAACTCACGTCGACGTCGGAGTAAAGTTTGACTGTTTACACCACGCAATTGCGCCATTTGGGTACTTCATCGGTGTGTCTGGTCACCAAACTTAACAAAATTTCATCTTCACTGTCGTCATGAGATGAACTCGACAAAGAAACCTCCAAAAATTTGAGGCGCGCTATCTTTCTTGCTGTCGCCATACCAGCCATTGCGCGTCGTCTGCTGATTATCTGCTAGGCGCGCGGCAAGCAAGGAATGCTGGAATTTAACAACGTTGCTTTACTGTTTTTTTTTGTTTTTTTTTTCGAAGTACCTCGGAGCATAAAAAAAAGTGCCCCGACAGGATGCGCCCCAAGGAGGTCTACAGAACCTCTGGAGTGGCAATCCTGGCCGCTTTAAACGGGAGCAAAAGAAACTGCCAGCGGCCATATTGCTAGAGGAAAACAGGGTGGCATTGCCATAGACCGTAATGGAATACGCGCATTGCGCGCCTCGGTTTGCAGTTCTACGATAAAAAAAAAATGAGATGGAAACGACTTTTAGGATACACCATCGCCTCTTCTTGTTTATTAAAGAAATTACTTCATGCGACCTTTGTCAGCTGCACGCTTTCAGATCATTCTGTTGTCGAGGGATGCTTCGTATATCGAGCTTGTTGGCGCACTATTCCGGTATAAAAGAGTTGTAGCATATATTGGTGTTTTAATAAATGTGCCTGCAGTTACTTAAGATCAAGGGGAACGCGACATTTGCCCGCCTCTTTCATATATGTGCTTGTGTGTGTGTCGGCAGAAAGAGTAAATAATTAAAGCTCAAGTTGGAAAAGATTTGGAAAACCGGGAGTCACCAGTAATTTTTTTGTTAGAGTTATCGAGTTCTAACCAATTCACAGGCGGAACCAAAACCGAAGCACCAATGTCGCGTGCAATCGACAAACTTCAGGAAACGTACCCCAAATGAACCGTTCATAAGAACGATTGCAGTGGCGTTAGATATGCATAATATTTATCAATTTTGTGGGCGACGTGCGTTGTCATGGCAAACGCAGCCTTCAGAGCCTAGAGACGAGGTATCTCGATGTTTGATATAACCATGGAGGAAGGAAAAATTCCTTCCTCCTTGGGTATAACCACTCACTCATTTTGGCAACTTCGTCTATCGGTGTTTTGGTTTCGGTTTCCTCGGCAAAATAGAACGGATTTGAAAGGTACGCGTGTAATCTTGTTTTAGACGCAATTGCTTATTTTGTCACTAAATTCTATTGCAGCTACAACAATGAGGTAGAAACTAACAGGTTTTTGCAGATGCGCTTGGAAAGCAGGAAAAATCGAAGGTGCACTGCCAGGCCGCAGTCTGGTTGTCTGCCCCGTTCTGTCGAAGCAGCATTCTTCGAAGTGAATAGAACAGAGGTGGTCACCATCCGTAGCCCTCCAACTATTTCTTCGAACAGCACGTTCCCAGGCAGAACGCCGCGCACTGTCTTTCGGAAACCTGTAACACAGATAATCACGGCATGAAATTGTTCTCCAATCCCGGCAGCGGCGGCTGCATTTCCGGTGAAGGCGGAAATGTAGGCTCGTGTGCTCAGATTTGGGTGCACGTTGAAGAACCCTAGGTGGTCAAAATTTCCGGAGCCCTCCACTATGGCGTCTGTCATATTCATATGGTGGTTTTGGCACGTTAAACCCCACATATCAATCATCAATTGTTCTCAACGTTTGCGAATTCCTTGATAAACATGCACCAAATTCGATATTCACTCGCCAAAAAAAAAAAAAATATGCATGCACGCCGTCAGTCCTGTCTTGAAAAACAACACCAGAAAATTTGGAACTCAAAGGGCATTCAGACGTCCGACTTGTTCCAATGTTTGATACGTGGAGCCACAGACTGCAAGTTATTCGTCCATAAACATAGAACTCTGAGAGAACGTCGTGTCAGCGAGAATTTAAAGCTTCAAGTTACCTTCCATACAGCTATACGCATGTATTATACACATGCGTACCTTTGATATTGTCTCTAATTTAACAAAATACGCGAAAAAACAGACAACCGTCAACGAATTAGAAAACTCTATGGTGGTAGCAAATGATTGATATGTGGGGTTTAACGTCCCAAAACCACCATGTGATTATGAGAGACGCCGTAGTGGAGGGCTCCGGAAATTTCGACCACCTGGGGTTCTTTAACGTGCACCCAAATCTGAGCACATGGGCCTACAACAATTCCGCCTCCATCGGAAATGCAGCCGCCGCAGCCGGGATTTGAACCTGGTGGTAGCAAAAATGTTCATTTGAAAGGTTTATGCTAAAGAATAGGTGAATCGAAACTAACCAAATAGATACGCTTTTTTAATCGAGAAGTTTGATCAGAAAATACTTTAACAATGGCGAAAAAGCCTCACTATTTACTAGAACAGGTAGGACGGCTCTAAGGTGACACCCTGTAACGTTAGCAGATAAAATCTGTAGAGTTTACAGACACATTAATACGACGTGTCCATCGCCTCTCAAGGTGAAAGATGCGGCCTCATTAAGTGTAAGGCCTACGGGAAGGCCAGCTGGCCCCAGAAACTCTCAAGTTCAAGTGATCGCCTGTAGGGACGAAAAAATCAACCGTGGCGCGTTTCTGCTTTAAACACCCAGAGCTGAGCTTCTAACCTCTCTCGCCACTCGCGCTATTGCACTTTCTTATAGGGGCGCCCTCGTCGGGGCCAAGATTTAATTTTGAAATGATCAAATACTACATCTTTTCGTACCGCTACACATAAAAAAACAACTAAATTTCTTCTAGGAAGAAGTTTTTCTTTAACATGTGCTGCGTGCTCAATTTTTTGTAATAGTTTTTGCTCCAGCTGACTCGAAGTCAGCAGCAGCCTATTGACATCATTATCCTCATTTCAAAGTTTACGGCGGCCTACGGGGCGCTCGCAAGTGCCTGTCATGTCGTGCTCGGCTTCGCTGGAGAAGGTGCTCGTTTTTTTTCTCGTCCGCTTATCTTGTGTTCGCGTTCTTGGCCCTTTTTCGAGTTCCTGTTCAGCTGTCATCAGCGTCTGGGCGCACCTTTCTGGGGTGTGTGGCCATTGCGGGCGGTGCTGACTTGAGCTCAGCTGACTGATGTCCGTCGCGTCTCCCAGCCAGGCAAACTTTGCCTGGTCGGCATGCCTCACTAATGATAATTTACCCATTAATCTTTTCTTGCGCAGTGGTCTCAGCAGCATTCCGGTGGCTCTGGTCCCAACAAATGGGGCTTCAATTCACATGAAAACCTCCAGAACACATCCAGGAAGAGCTACGGAAGGTGACCGAACACTTCCAACTCATCACCGAGGTGCGACAGTTAGGTCGTGGAGGCATTCTGTGTTGTTCCCCACATCATGCCTGCGTATCAGATCTGCTAAAATGCACATCGTTTGCCTCTCTCCCGGTGAGCCCTTTTGTTCCTCCTCACTTGGCCTGTGTGAAAGGTTTGGTTCGTGGGGTAGACTTTAGCCTGCCTCCGTCCGAAATTCTAGAGATGTTTTCTGCTGCAGGCGCGGTGGCAGTTTTTCGCTGTTCACGTAGCGCTGACAAAAATAAGATCCCGACAGAGTCGGTGACAGTTACCTTTGCTAGAACTACTAGACCAACAGAGATCAAAGCATGGCCACTTATATATCGGGTTGAAATGCTAACTCCGCGTCCACTGCAGTGCCATAGATGCTGGCATTTTGGGCATAGCGTAAAGGGTTGCCGATCAGTAGAGTGGTGTCAAATGTGTGCAGGACAACACAACTCTAAAGAATGCACAACTCAGGAAAGGTCTTGCTGTCTCTGCGGTGGCCCTCACCCATCTGATGATGGCACATGCCCTGCGAGAGCTCAGGAGATTAAAATTATGAAAATAATTGAGCAAAAACGTTGTGCAAGACGTGAAGCTTGAATCGCCATCGCAGAGCGCTCTCGTGGGTACGCAGTAGCTGTGATCCGTAATAACCATGTCATGGACTCGTCACTCTCAGACGTGATAGCCTCGACCGTTGAGAAAACAATGACGAAGCTATTGGAGAACCTTTTTGTTATGCTGACGGAGTCATTTGCTCAAATAGTAAATGCACAAATCGCTCAAGTCCTCATGAATGTTAATCATCCACATGCAGCCTCTACGCTTTCTTCAGCTAAAGAGGTGAATGCAGGATCTGTAGAAACAGGGCCTTCTAAACACAGCCAACCGATAACAACATCTGTTGAAAAGTTATATTCATCAAGAGCTGGTCCATCGAACTGCGGCCGTAAAACAATTCCCATCGAACATCTGGATTGGAGCTCTGATTTAGGTTCGTAGGACTCACAAATGGAATTCGACACAAAGAAAATGAAACGGCGGGCGTCGCCACGAAAAAAAAAATGGATCTTCAGTGAGTCCTAAAGGGGAAGATAAAAAAAAATATCAGAAAGAAATAGCATCAAAAGAGGATTTTTTGAAAGATAACACATTGTAGAAGGACGTGAATGCTGCCGGCATATCCTCAAAATAGGTGGATTAAGAATCTTGCAGTTGAATTGCCGGTCAAACCTTTTTTTTACCGAACATTTCGCTTAGACCTCCCCTCTCGAGGAGGTGGTTTAGCAGTGCTTGCCTCTTCAAAAATTGCACATCGGGCAAAAGTTACAGGTCAAATAATGAATTTAGAAAGTGA